ATTTTTTGTTTCAGATCAAAACATAAACAAAATAAAATAAAAACAAAAAAGAGAAAACAAAAATAAAAGTCATCCCAAACGGCAAGTCAGTAAAAAAGCTAGTTGAAAGTTGGTTGAGTTTGATGAAATTGTTTTGTAGTTCAAACTTGGAAGTGAGTTGAATTAATAAGTCCTTTACGATTTGGGAAAGTCAATGAAGATCCCTCACCGATGCAAGGACTTTGTAATTCAAGTTGAAATAGGAGTTACAAAATTCAAATTAAGGTTGCTACATGTCAAGATCATTTTAAGCACCACCAAAGTGCAGTTTCATAACTATTCAAGGTTTTTTTATTCAGAATTGGGAGTTACACAATTCAAATTCATGGAGTTGCAAAATTCAAATCAAAAGAGTTATATGTGAAGATCATTACAAGCATTATCACAGTGGCAGTTTCATAAGCATTCACATTTTGTTGTAGATAACTTTTGTGGTAGGAAAGCATCCAATAAATAGTAGTGTCCATTTGGATGATAGCTTTTTCAGTTTTTTCCAAATTTTATCTTTAAAGGCAGCTTTTGGGAAAGTGGTTTTGAAACTGTTGTTGGGAAGAAGATTTGAGCAACAAAATTTGAAAAGCATAAACAACCCGAAACGAAACCTCAACTAGACAATCATATACGGTTCATTCATGAAAGAAAAAGTAACGTAATTTTATTCTTTTTTCTAGGGAATTTTTAATTTGTGATGTTATTGTAATACGAATATTGATGAAATGAGGAATGGAAAGAAACTTTTTCTTGCTTATGAAATCATTGTCTATTCATATATGCATGCTTGAAACATAGGCTTGGTTTTTGATCATCCTTGTATAGTCTTGCAAGGCATCCTCCTTATCAATTATCTTACCCCTAAATTCCTCTTTTTTTCCATGCATTACATTCCTCTCTTCCACTCTCAATCAACTCTTCTCACCCCCCAATATCCAACAAATAGCATCCCAAGCCTTCTACCAATTGCTCTCAGCCACTTCTCATCATCAAAAAACCTTTGAACTTGCCATCCCATTACTTTGGATGTGAATGCCAATTCCATGCAAAACCAAACCATCTGATGCATGAAGGCATTAATTTATCCCTTAGCTACAAAATTGCCGCCTCCTCTCCATCAATAAGTTTACTTGGATGATCAGTGTTGAGTCCACCTTTTTTTTAGCATTTATAGAGATGCTTTTGAAAAATATTCAAAATGAGGTGTTTTGGTGTATGCTTTTTGCATATAATATATAGCTTTAATTAATGAGACGTTCATTGAATTAAGTGGAACTAGAAAAGTTGAATAAAATTTTAGAAGATATATGCCTTAGAGTTAGTATAACAAAGATTAAGTATGTGATATATAATTTTGGTTGGTATGATGTTAATATTAGAAGATATTGTGATACCTAAGTGTAATGGATTCATGTATATGGAAGCTATTATATAGAAGAATGAAGAAAACTTCAAGCTTTAGAGTTGATTTGTTAAAATGGAGAAATGAGTAGAAAATTTTATGTGATAAGAGGATATCAAGAAGACTGAAAGGTTACTTTATGATGAATAACATGAGAGAAAAATGTCTTGTTCTCTAATATTCAAATTACAAATGCTCTCATTATATAGATAGTAAATTCTACGACAAGCATAATTCCCAGAATTATAATTTATCTAATCTACAACTAACGTTGAAGGAAAGAGCTACAAGAATAACAGTAAAAAAATAAATGATGATAACTCTACATAGAAAACATATAATTCTACTACCCTCAGGCTGGGTCATAGATGTTGTAGAGACCTAACTTGGTCTTCAAATCTGTGAAATTGACTGGAGATAAAGACATCGACAACATACTGATGCTTTGGAATGTAAGATTAAGTGAATGACGCCTCCATTGATGTTCTCTGAGATAAAATGTTTGTCAATCTCAATTTGCTTTGTCTTATTATGATGTGCAAGATTTTTTGCAATGATAATGATAGTTGGTTGCTATAGAACGTCTTTTTGGGGTTAATCTTGGAGTATCCACATCTTTTAGTACTCCTTTAATCCAAATTCCTTCACAAATTTTCAAAGCAAGTGCTCGATACTTAGACCTTGCACTGCTTCTAGAGATCACTGTTTACTTCTTGCTTTATGTGACAATGTTTTTCAGATATAGGAACAATAACCATAGGTGGATCTTTTTTCAGTGACTTCTATTGCAAACTAGCATCAGTGTAAAAATTTACATCTTTGTTGTCAAATTTCTTAAACAATAAGCCTCTGTCAGGGATCTTCTTAAGAAATCATAATATATTGTAGACCATCTTCAAATATTCTTTAGTTGGATTGTTTATGTATCGACTTACTATGCTGATAGAGTAAGTGATGTTAGGTCTAGTGTGTGATAAGTGGAGAAGTTTACTCACCAATATCTGACATTTATCGTTTTTCACTGACACCTTTTTTCCCACTGATTGTAACTTTTGGTTGAAAGCTATAAGAGTCTCAACAGGTTTGCACTCTAGCATTCATGTTTGTTTTAATAAATCTAGGATGTACTTTTTTGGATATCACAATACCTGTCTTAGACATGACCACTTCAATGCTCTGAAAGTATCTCATTGCTCCTAGATCTTTAATTTCAAATTTAGTAGCAAGAACCTCCTTAGTCTTTTCAATCTCTTTGTCATCATCACCTGTTAGGATCATATCATCAGCATATATAATGAGTATCGTTTTCTTATCTCCTTGCGTATGTTTTATAAACAATGTACAATTTGCTTGGCGTCTGATGTACCTATTTGATTTCATAGTTTTGATGAATTTATTAGATGAAGCCCTTGGCGATTGTTTGAGATCATAAAGCCACTTTTTTAGTTTATCGACCTGATGTTTATTTGAGTCTTCTTCTAGCCCTAGGGGAATTTTTACATAAACTTCTAGGTCTCTATTCAAAAACATTTGCAGGCCCCACTTTTATTCATTTCCGAGGAGAGAAGAACTCTTTTAGTGTTTAATTTGGCCACTGAAGCAAAAGTCTCTTAATATTCCATCCCATAAGATTGAGTGAAAGCTTTGGCCACCAACATCTTGAACTTATCAATGCTCCCATATGTTCTTTACTTGGCATGGACACCCATTTGACATCCAACTAGTCTTTTATTTGGAAAAAGTTTCGTAAGGGTTACGTACCATTTAGCTTAAGTGCTTGGAATTTTTCTTTATTTTTCTTTTTTTCATTATGGACTTCATAGTGATTCATGAATCGACTTGGGTATTTCCACATTGTCAATATTAGACCCTATGAGTTAGTGTAACTCACCATAGGCAACGTGCTCTTGGATAGGATAATGTGTGCAACCTTTTTGGTTTTGTTCGTTGGATTTCACTTGCTGTTGAATGTCAGAGGTGGGTGAAGGTTTAGTTGTGGACAATTCTGTGGTTGCATCTCATCTTTTTTATGCTCATTGCATTTATTTCTCCTTGTATACACCCGAGGCTCTTTATTTTTTTATTTCAGAGTGGATTTATTTCTTTGATACCATAAAGAATAATGTAAGTGAGAAAATTCTCTTATTCCTTAATCTTCCAATTACAACTTCTCTCATTATATATAGGGACTAAATTCTAGGGAAAACATAATTCCCACAATTATAACTTACTAAATCTACAATAACTTAATCTTAAATTTTTCATTTTGTTCCTTCCTGTTTATTTCGAAATGCTCTCTCTTATTAATTCTCTTCTCCTTTATTCTAGTTCAACAATAGCCATGTCATTCAAATTCCTGAAAGCACAGCCCTGTTCTTCCACAATCAAAACCTCAGACTGCCGGCCCTTCACAAATTTACCCAGCAGAACAATGCTAACCAATCCATTCAAGCACACCAAATCCAATGGCTGAACACCCATGCAATCGCATTTAATGTCTATAGGGATTTCAATGAGGTGATCTGACGTTAAATTCAGGTTTAAATTTTGACTTAGTTATCCAAAATGTCAATTTTCAAAAAACTCATAAAGCTGATTTTAAATTTTATGTTTAACTTAATAAAATTATCAAGTCAATATCCGTAAATTTGTCTACCTGTTGATAGCTTAGATGGGTGGCGTCTTAACTCTGAGCAGTTTCGTGGAGATAAGCCAAGTGGAGTTAATGTAAGACATGCGCACAAACACCTACCCAAACATGCATATTTTGATGGGCGACTAATTCAACTGTAGGACGAGTTGCCTTTTGTGGTTGAATTTGTGCTTGCATTTGGCTTGTTAAGAATCTGGTAGGACTAGTAGCCATATGGGGCCACTAGTAGCAGTCGTCATGCTTGGGGCAGTTACATACATATCACTCAAAATATTGCTATTTACAAATCTAGCACTCTCTTTGATCCTTTTTTTTGAATTCTCGCCCAAATGTCAAAATTTATGATGGAACACCCGAATATGTATTATTTATTTTTGTTAAATTCTCAATGGTTTGACTATGACACTGCTAATGTATCGGGTTGGTGGTTAACAAAAATCACATGGGTGCTAATTTTGTAAATAGCAATGTTTGAAGTGTTTTGAATATCCCTTTACAGTTTAAAGGCAGAGAGATGGCGAGAGGCTGGGTTGGCGAAAGATAGTAATATGTGAGAGAAGCTTATTGTTTTATTGATTCCATTTGGTTGAGATGTTTATATGTAGATATGCAGGCTTCTGCACGGGGACTTTTATTGCTTCCTGCAGGGCCCTTTATTGCTTCCTGGCTTTTTTTTTATCAGTGTTAATATGATCTTGAAACCTTAGATTTTTTTTTTCAACTTCTTTAACTTAGTTTACAATATGGATTTCATGGCGAAGTTAAGCTTTTTCTTGGCTTTGCATTAGATGGAAAATTTTTCCTCAACTAAGGTTTATATTGAAAAGAAATTTAAGATTCTCCCTGCAGTTACCTTTTTAAGGGAACTTCGAAATCTGCCCTTGGAGATTACTTCATTTTGTTTTGTTCCGACAGGTTTGGCACTAATCCTCCCACTACTGGAAAAGATGTAGGGGTTTCAGAAGAACAGAAGAGGAGGGATCGTGCGAAGAGGTCCCACCCAGTTGTCTTTCCCTGTGAAGGCTATTAATAAGCTTAATTAATATTTTCCTTGCAGCGACCCATCATTAGTCTGTTTACCCATTCCCAGATCAACCGTATCACTACTACTACTCTATTGATTTGCAGGTTTGGACTTGTGGAACATTATTCAGGCGAAGAAGCTGCGAAAAAGAAGGCACGTTTGGAGCGGTTCGCCCAGAAGCCAAACACTTTGGAGGAAGAGAAAAGGAAAGCTAGAGCTGCGAGGTAGATCGTGCAAGAAAACATTGGCATTTCTGTATCTTCATACTTGAATGCTGATAGCGTGGTTTCAAAATTTTTTTTTCTTAAACTTGCGCAGGTTTTCAGGAACATCTAATTCTTCAGCTCAGAACAATGGCAAGGTCAGCATTCAAATTATGCTGTAGTTAATGCAAGAGGAGCTTGGTTGCTTTACTCGCAAGTTTATTTTTCTGTCTTGTTCAACTTTAGAAGGCAGACAAGGTTGAGACAGCAGGTGGTACTTAGGGGGATATAACTTGGATGGCTAAATCCGCAGAGTACTTTTTTCAACCGACACCCTAAATTTATATAATTTCACCATTTCTTTCCATGATTTTGTCTTCTCATCAGTAATGGAGGAACCGAATTTCTCACCTGAATCACTTTTACAAATTTTCTTTCTGCAGGTTCTGGTCATCAGTTTGTTGAAGTTGTTTCACCTCGAAATTTTTTTTTTTTTGCGGAGTGGCTTGTTCATGGTATAAATGTTTTGTTACACAGAATGCCTCCTATGATTTTTTTTTTTTTGGAATTGTTTTTAGGGGACAGAAAAATGTTACAATACTCTGCAGCCTCTGTTGTAGGAAATTTGTCCAGCAAATATTTTGTTCTCCATGTGGCGCTTACTTTTGGTTAGAGAGAATTTTCTACTTTTTATCAGGCCTTGCTTTATTCAATCTTGATTCAAGTTGGGCCTGTTATATTAGGAAGATTTACTTACCACTGAATTTTTATGTACTTAATTGTCTAATACCCGAACTTCAATTTTTAATTACGGTATAGTTTATCTATGCACAAAAATGTGTATTTTATATTTTTAAGTTGAAATTGTGGTATTTTCAATGTTATATTAAAAATGTGGGTGAAATAAATGCAAAAAAAAGTAAAGTTTAGATCTTAGACATGTAAATACATAGGAATTGGGCATTATGTTTGTAAATGTCCCTTAAACAATTGTGTTTGTACACCAAAAATGTGCTAGCTAGAGTTACAAAGCCATCCTGTGGAGGATGAAGTGGTATGATGTCGTTGGGCTTACCTAGAGAAATCAGGGTCAGACATACAATTAGTTAGTTTCTCATATCGCAGAAATGACATCTCAGAGACATAATTCACCTCCCATTGAAGAATCCCACTGGTCGAATCCGGATTGATAAATCTGCGGTTCTTTGATTGAAATCCCCGTTGATATGACATCAAGGAGATTGTCATGATGGAGAAGTCGAAGAAACCTGTGATCCCATGACACGGGTCAAAGGCAAGAGAAAATTCCAGCATTAGAAACCCCACCCAAAACTATCCAGTTGAATGTGGTTCGTGCTACTGGGTAGTTCCGACCATTTTCGGAGGAATGTATGTCCCTTGACAGCCTTCCTAGAAAAGGGCTAGAACAAGCAAGTTGTGAAACCTCGCGTATGTGCAAAGAGAGGAAGGTTGTCCCCTCATTACATTCATGGACGATGATCTTCCCCAACAGGGAAACTCGTATGGCGAAGCCATAGTATTCACGGGATGATCAATAACTTTTAAATCGGAAGCATTTATACCAACACTGGTAGCTTCGTGAACATTTTGTTAAAGTCAGTATTCGACAAGCTTAACCTTCAAACCGATCGGTTGGCAGCGCCGCTTGACCCACAATTTTGGTTTTTTTGGTGAAAGGAAGGAGGTGTTGGGCGTTTTGTCGTAGACGGTCACATGGGGTGAGGAAGACATGCAGTTCAAATAAATATAAGATTTCCTAATAGTGGACTCGCCCTCAAATGTATAATGCCATTTATGCTCGACCGTTTCTAAACCTCTGCAACGCGGTAGTGTCCACTTACCACGTTGTCGTGAAATTCCAAGGAGACAGAGAGGTGATTATAGTCAAAGGAGATCTGGAGTTGTTGAGGGTCTAGTACCTCCGAGCTGTCGAGAGCGTGCAGCAGGAGCCTTTCAAACAGCAGAATAAAAAATGTAGGTTCGAGACCACTGAAGGAAGCCGAGAGATTTTGGTCTAAGAAAACGACCCCAATAAGTCTTTCCTAATAAGCAAAGGATTTGATGCAAGGCACCGACAGTTGTTGATTTAAACGCTCCAGGATCACAATGACGTCTTTTCTTGGTTCGTTGTCGAGATGCTGACCCCGATGAAATATAGTTGTGTAAAAATTATATAATTGACTCCGCTATGCAACGCTGCCAAAAGCTTGATGCAATATTTTATGAATTAGAAATTTAAGTAATTAATGTTGGGTTTCTACGCAAGTATACATATGGTTATCAAATAATAAATGACTTTTTATTTAAGCCCCAAATATTGATCCCACAGAGAATGTTTAAATTTGAAATGATAAATTTACTAGGAAATTCACAGAAAGTCAAAATGAAATTACTGTCACTAATTTCAAATATTGAGATATTATCAGAACTAAACTATTTAACTAATAACAAAATTAAAATATGAAGTTCATACAGTAACTACTAAACCATTAAACTATGTTTATGTAATGAAGATTTCTTATGTGGAAAAACGTCTTTCTCACTACAATGAGGTTTTGATAAAATGAGATGAGATAAATGGTTCAAATATGTATTATGCTAAATATGAGCAGTTTTAATTCCCTATCCTGATACAGTTTTATAGAAAATCAATGACTAATCTCAGGTTTAGTCCCTAAATCCGTTGTTAGGCTAGGAGGATACTAGCTCCCACTCTAGAGCTCCCACTTCGCTTCACCTGAAGGCTAACTCTCACTTTAGTTTTTAAACACTAAGACCGAATTGGGGATTTTAGTCTATCACCCTAAAGATTCTCCAATGCTACACCCAACAAAGTATATTTCCCTATTTATTTGCACTTAATTTCATGAACGAAATTCTCCTGCATAGAATCAAATGTGAACTTACTCTGTTGTAGAACTCATACTCCATTTCTCATATCATATGTTTCACAACATATTTTAACAATTCAATTGGGTAGATCGAAAAGTAAATTAAGTTCGGAGTTGAAAAATCATCACAATTTATTTTATATTTTAATATTGTCACATCCATATTATCTCTTCATTTTACTATATCTCAGAGTAGGGAGAAAGATAAAGTAAAGTACTCAGACTTCATGAGAAAGATACAACAAAACACAAATTTCATATATAAAAGAAAGTTCATACAACACTAATAAACAAACAACACTTATCTGAAACTTTTTCTCAAAACAAA